TACTCTCAACACTCTGAGGAAGCGCCCTCCCATTTTCCACAGTGGTTGTTCCCATGTTCCAGTCCTCTCGGCAGGGTGGGAGGGTCCCAGTTCTGCTGGCCCTCACCAGCGCTTGTTTTCTAACTCCGCTACTCATGCTGGGGAGAGGTGATGGCCCATTGCTGCTTGCAGCTCCTTAACAGCTAATGACTGTGGTCATTTCTTCATGTTTCCGGGTTGGCTGTGTGTTGTCTTTGGTGAAATGTCTCATGTTCTCTGCTCATGAGATAAAAAGGGGCAGAATTTACCTAGGGACAAAGTTGAGAAGAGGTAGGAGAGAAGAAATGGAAACAAGGGAGAAGTCGGGGAAGTGGAGTTACACTGAAGGCACTGCAATGAATGAGGTGAAACAAAATGTGGATTGTTGAAGGTAAAGCGGTTGATCTGCCCTGTAATCTTTACCCACGTCTAATTTACATATACACCATATATACTCATGTATAAGCCAAGTTTTTCAGCACATTTTAAATTGTTTTTGTGGTAAATTTAGGTGCCTCGGCTGATATTAGGGTCAGCTTATACTCGAGTGTATACGGTATAAATATATATGTGTACATAGAGCCATGGAAAGTTCTGCTCTCTGCAGCTGATCTGGCCCAACATTTTGGGAGCCATCAAGCAGAAAGTTTACTCAACTGGAATGTTTTCGGTCAGAACTGTGTACGCTGAACCAACTGTGTCATTTACGATGTTGGCTGCTGCTCCTGCTGCTAGTCGTCCACCCTCTTCAGCTGAGGGATGAGCAAGATGAGTTTTTCACTCATTGATGTGGATGGCCTGATGTTGCAGGATTCATCTTCAACATCGTCTCATCCCTTCTCAAAGCAAATCACCCATTTGCAAATGATTCCTTTGTAGTGTCCCCATAAGCTTTTCATTAAAAAGCACCGATTTCACCGTTCTCCCACCCACGTTTCACCATAAACTGGATGTCTGCTCTTGCTTCAATTTTAGCAAAACTTATCTTGCACTGAGGGACTCCTTGAACTGACTGTTTCTCAGTGCCCCAAACTACACTGCACTACAGTGTTGGGGAATAAAATAAAAATGAAATCCATGCAGACTTTTCATAATACACATTTCCCATGAACTTCGGAAGAGCGGCCACAGGCAGGGTGGCTTACGGAGTGGTGCAGGTCTAGGTGTTTAAGACTCTGAGGGTGGAGGGTAAGCACGACGGGGCTTAAGGAGTGTTGGGTGACCTAATTAAGAATCACATTGAACCGACCACCCACGCTGAACTTCCTCCTCGTGATGACAAATAATGGAAGGCAGAGACAAACCCTTAAGGTCAGAGAGAAAGGCAGCCAGTAGCAGGTGAAGATCCCACAGGGATAGGATAGGCAGAAGCTCCGTGTTTGAACACCTCCCGGCACTGGCCCTGCTCTTCCTGCGGCTGGCTGGTCTGTATCCTTTCACTGAGAAACATGACTGCTGAGTCATCTTCGGAGCGTATTACCAAGTTGATAGCCAGCCAGCCTGGTGAGGGTGGTCTGAGAGCCCTGACCTGTAGCTGGGGTCTACTGTGCCGTCCTACTCTGCAGTTAGGTAATTTTGACACCCTGTTCCCCTTATGTTATGGGAAGAATTCGACACAGCTGTGTGTACAATGACCCTGCGAAAAACATGAATCTCTCCAAGTCTTTGCTTTTTACTTCTGAGCACCGGATTCCCGCTGCACAGACTGAGGAACACAAGACAAAGGCAGATTACTGGGTTCAAGGCCAACCTATCCACTTGATGTCTGTCCTCATGCAAGCTGCTGTACTTTTGTACACTTCTCGTCTCTAACAGGGGAATAATGGTGTTTCTCATAGGGTTACTGTGAAGGCTGAATGAAGTAATGCACAGAAGATGTTTAGCACTCGATAAATAAATAAATGCCAGAAATAGTACCTACACTGTATGGGTCGAATTGTGCCCCCCCTAAAAATGTGCATCACACCTCGACTGGACCATGATTAGAAGTACTGGGTAATCGTCCTTCATTCTGTGAGCTGGTACAATCATCCTGTGTTGTCAACCCTAAGCTCTAGGATGTTCGTCAAAGGCAGGGGACCATCAGGATCGGTGATCTTGGAGCCGTTCTTTTTTGAGATCTAAGAAATTGAGCAAGTGAGCAAATCTGAAGAACCAAAAAAGAGCCAGGATTGGAATGTACCCTCGATCTGGGATCCCTCTGCTGGGAACCTCCTAGATCCAGACAGTAATTGATGCAAAGAAACATAATTTCTTGACATACATACATACATACTCATGTCTTTAAACCTTTATTGTGGATTGGGTGAAGGTCTGATGTCAAAAGGAGCCACGGCTCTCCCCGTGGAGCTAGAGAGAGCCTCCCTTTCCCTTTCCCCGCGCCCTGGGGCGGACACTCTGACTTCAGAACTTCCAGCCTCCTAAATTTTAAGAACAGCTTTGTTAAAGTGACCCACTTGTTGTATTTCTATTACAGTGGGTCGGGAATAATGAAGACAATCACTATGTAGCAGAATCGAGAAGCGCTTAAATAGTGGTCTAATCTTGAAATGTGAATCTCCGGTTGCAATTACTTCTTCCTCCTCCACATTCCTATAAGAAACATAAGATACATTGTCTCGAACATCCCCTGCCTTACCTTGACATGTGGGTACACTGTCCAGTAAACAGACCACCCAGTCCTCACACAGAAAATAGTGTGTGTGCATTTACATAGGTACATAAGTATGCCAAGGCGTACATCCATGTTCGCGTAAATGTGCATACATTAGGCAGCCCTGTGACATTAAGTCCCTTCTACAAGGATAAAGAGTGAAAAACATGGCAATCAACAAGGAGACTGAAAGTATGAAAGCGTACATGGACACACAGGATGGGTACAGGTGTTCCTATTCAGGACACGTTTTCTTGCCCTCTCCTACCGCTGACCCTCCCCCTCCCTCCTTCCCAGTGGTCCTGACAGGGCAGAAACTTTGATCCAGGGCAGTGAGTCAAAGCGCTGTGACAGAGAAGGAAAGAACACGCGAGCACTTCGATGGAGGGCTAGAGTCTGCCGACAAGCCTTCCACATCCTCCAGCCACAGCGGGCGTCCTGGTCCTTGTGAAAGTGATGAGTCTCCGGTGCCATCCTCTCTGCAGGGCCTCACTCCCCCTGCCTCACCAGAACGTCAGACAGATCCTCTGTTCCTTCCAGCTTTAGATTCTGAGGGAGACCAAAATCCACACGAACCTCAGTTACTGGGAGAAGAACCACAGACCACCTTCTCATCACGTGAATAAGCTGGTCATTACCAAGAATGAGGCTTGTCCCATGAAGAGAAAATTTCATCAGCAAATACAATCTGTATGATTTATGAGCTGTGCTCCCCCAAAATACATGTCAACTTGGCTGCGTTGTGATTCTCAGTGGCTTAGTGCTACCAATCTCCCCACCATGATGTAATAAACCAGCAAGAGGCATATGGGTGTGATGCAGTTTACTTAATCTTGTCACAGTCCTGATTTGATGTAAGGGAAGTTTCCCTGGGGCATGGCCTATGATACCTTTTATCTTACAGGTCATAAAAGGAGGGAAAAGACAGGCAGAGAGTAGAGTGATCTACTATCACCAGGGGAGAAGAGTCAAGGGTGGAGTGTGACGCCCCCAGATCCCGGGAAGACCCATGGAGAGCTCCAAGGGGTGCTGGACCGACAGATGCCGAAAGGAGAGGAGGACCTTTAGCCGCAGCTGACAGAGAATGTCTTCCCGAGACGGCACTCTGAATCTGGAATTCCAATTTCCTAAACGACAACTGCCTCAGACTACGGGTAGCCATGGAACTTGAGGAGACGTCATTGAGCTCATGTGGGATCTGTGCACAGATCAAGAGGCATTCGGGCAAAGAGAAGAAGAGAAGACTGCATAGTGTAAAAATCAGGAAAGGGCTGCATGTGTCAGGGTTGTATCCGCTCACCACACTCATTCAATTTGTACACTGAGCAAATTATCAGAGAAGCTGGACTCTACGAAGAACATGGACTAGGACTGGAGGAGGGCTATTAACACTCTGCGATATGCAGACAACACAACCTTGCTTGCTCAACGAGAGGAAGACTGGAGCCCTTACTGATGAAGATCAAGGACCGTAGCCTTCAGTATGCATTATAACTCAATGCAACGAAGACCAACATCCTCACGCCTGCACCAATAGGTACGACACGATAAATGGAGAAAAGACTGAAATTGTCAAGGATTTTATCTTGCTTGCATCCACTATCAATGCCCATGGAAGCAGCAGCCAAGAGATCAAAAGACGAGTTGCATTAGGTAACTATGCTGCATAAGACCTCTTTAAAATGTTGAAAAGCAAGGATGTTACTTTGAGAAATAAGGTATGCCTGGCCCAAGCTACGGCATTTTCAATCACTTCACATGCATGTGAAAGTTGGAACTGGAATAAAGAAGACCAAAGAATCCATGCATTTTAAGTATGGTGTCAGGTGAAGAATATTGGAAGTACCACAGACTGCCAAAAGAACAAACAAATCTGCCTTGGAAGAAATACAGCCAACATGCTCTTGAAAAGCAAAGACGGCGAGATTTCTTTGTCTCATGGACTTTGGACATGATGTCAGGGGAGACCAGGCCCTGGAGAAGGACATCAGGATTGGTCAGGCAGAGGGCGGAGTGTAAGAGGAAGACCTTCGAAGAGATGGCTCAAGCATGGCAAGTGGGTGTCTCTTTCTGTTGTGCGTGGGGCTGGTCTGCGCGCGTTACTGAATCGCGTTACTGAATCGATGGTCTCTAGCAACCACCTCCTAATCTGTGAAACAGCAACTTGTCTGTTAAAAACCATCCCCTGAGCTATTTCTGGTGTAGCCACACTAGATAATCTAAGACAGATGATAAAGCTGGTTTCAAATACTTGCTAATCACAGGGAAGGAAAAAAAAAACTAGCAAAAGCCAAACCTCAGCTGGTTCTATAATAACCCCATCTATAAAAGGCCCAGAGGAGCCTTGGCGGTGTAGTGGGTTGCACGTTGGACTGTGAACTCCAAAGGCAACAGTTCAAAACCACCAGCAGTTCTGAGGGAGAAGGACGCGGCTTTTGGCTGCCGCATGTTCAGTCTTGGGACTCTGTCCTGTAGGGTCACTAGGAGTCAGAGCTGACTTGAGAGCAGTGAGTGTTTTTAGAATAAAAGGCTCAAGAACTAAGCTGCTTGCCTTGAGGGGGCTAAGGGCAGCATAGCCTAATCCAGACCTGGCACTGAGAACTGCCGGGACCTCACAGGACACAGGGACCCACCCTCAGGTAGCACCAGGCACCCAAGGCTCTCCTCCAGTCCCTGCTCCTCACTCCCTTGATACCTCACCCCTCTGCAATGGCCAGGACAGCCACCTGCCCTTTTCCCTCTTCCTCACACACACCTACCGACATTCCCATCCAGGAACTCCTTCACCAATCCCGGCCACCATTTCCCTCCAAATGAGCAAAAGCCACTGACCACCAAGCTGATTCTGACTCATGGTTTCCCCACCTACAGGGGTTTGAAGGGCTGTAAATCTTCATGGGTGCAAAAAATCTTATTTTTCTACCATGCAGCAGCTGGGGGAGTCAAACTGCTGACTTTGCAGTTTGCGGGCCAACTCATAACCCACTGCATTTGCCACCCCAGCTCCTTCCAGGGGTAAGCGCCACTAAGAAGCACTGCTTACCAAATGTGGCCATAAACCACCCACCCCTCTTTTGCATCAGAGATAAAATTTCGTGAGTTGACCCTCAACGTCCACTCCACATTCTTTCTAGTGCATCTTCTGGCTCTGCTAAAATTTTCCAATTTGAGTCCTCTTCATGATTTTCATCGCAAATCACACCGGATGGCCTTTTCTAAGTTACTTCCAGGAACGTGGTCCCTGCTTTGGATGGGAAAGACTGCATAGCTCCCTGAATTTACTGAAGATAACCTAGAAGGCAATCCCCACACTCGCCTGTCGGCTCTGTGTCGCTGTGTGGTGGGCTCGCAGAGGAAGAAGGAGTGGGAAAGCCTGTGAACAGAGACGGAGCGCTGCTTGACCCAGAGCTAGAAGAGGAGCCCTCGGGGTGAAGGCTTACAAACGAAGACTGGGGAAGTTATCTCCTCAAAACAGAGTCAACTTTGAAGATGCAGGGGAAGCAGGTATTCAGGGACTTCATTTGCTTTGGGCACAACTGAAAATTGTAAGAAACAGCTGCAAACATCCAAAAATAACTGGGATGGGGAGCACATGGAGTGTAAGCCATCACAAATGAAGTAGAATGCATACGGATCGACATCCTAGGAGACTGAGCTGAAGTGGCCTTGGCTGGAGCATTCTGACTTGGACAATCACACGGCTTCCTATGCCAGGAATGACAAACTCCAAAGAAATGGAGCTGCAGTCACCATCAAAAACAACACTGTAAGATCTTGAAGTGCACACGCCTACAAGGATGACCAGTTGATATGACTATTCAAACATACATACCAAACTCTAAAGCCAAATATGAAGAAATCAAATAATTTTACTAAGTTCTTCAGTCTGAAATTGATCAAACATGTAACCAAGACGCACTTGATAATGACTGGTGATTGGAATGCATCAGTAGTTGGAAAATATGGCCAAAAATAATTTTCCAAAGATTATGGAAATGATGGTGATGGTCTCACAATCGAAGCTCGAGGGAGAGCCAGTCAGGAAATCGAGGAATGGACAGCACTGGGCAAAGCTGTTGCGAAGGTCTTCTTGCGAGTATCGAGGAGCAAAGCCAGCACTGTGAGGAGAGGCTTGCACGACCCAGACCGCGGCAGTCCACGGCCGCGGAGGCACGCACACACTGGACACTGGCTAAGGAGGCCTGAAGAAGAACTGATGCGCTGGAAGGATGGGCTGGTGAAGCACACGGAAAGGGCCGGGCTGCCAGAAGAATGAACGAATGTCCGGGAAGGAGGAGTGCCCCTTAGCAGTGAGGATGGCAAGCCTGTGTGTCAACCCTTCAGACACGCGCTCAGGAGCAGCACTCCCGGGAAGCGGGGATCACGGACAGTCGGCCACAGAAAAGAAGACCCTCGAGAAGGTGGAGTAACAGTGGCTGCGACAACGGGCCACACACAGGAATGACTGTGCGGATGGCACAGGACCCCGCAGCGCTGTGTTCCGTGGCACCCAGGCTTGCTATGAGTCAGAACCCACTCCCTGGCACCTAACAACAACGTTAAGGTCGCTCATGCAAGATCCAACAGGAAGACTCAATTAGGAAATGCTCACATGCTTACCAGACTCACCTACCTTTTCATTGGCTAAATGTAGGAGACAGGCAAAGGCCAGAGGTATGGAGAGGTTCTGAGCCATGAGGGGAGGCAGGCTGTGAAGCAAAGAGATAAGCATTACACTCACTCACTTCGATTCTGAGAACAAAGGCTCTTTCATCGAGTATGAGAAATCTACATGGACAGTGAGTAGCAAATGAAAGAACAGTGGAATACTCCAGGTGCACTCTATAAGCAGGCTTTTCCAGTTTCTTATTTGGAATTAAACAGTCTTTTGTTTTGTTTCAGTTACTGGAATGAAAGGGGGAAGAAAAAAAAAGCTGTTTAAAGTAACAAGGTTGGTCTGGATTCACTGGTCCACTTCACCAACACAGAGAACACAATGAACAAGTGATAAAGTGTTACATGAAACTGGCCACACAGCGGGGCGTGTGCAAGGGGGCCGTCACCATCCCTCCAGCAAAGCATGCTGAGCCAAGAGGGGAGGGGGAGAGGGAGAAGAAGAGGGAGAGGAGACCCTAAGCGCCCGCCCAGCTGGCACGCACCTCTTCTTGAGGTCCTTCGTGATCCCACTGAACAGCTGCTCATCAGCCCCCTCCACCGGATCCCCTTCTTTGTCCGCTTCATTGTGGTTTGCCTAGCAGAAAGAAGACGTTTACAGCTCACACATTCAGGGCCAGCTCACTTTTGCGAGAACAACACACAAAGTTGTAGCTCCACTAGAAAAACCTGCACCTGAATGATAAGAGGACATATTCTCTATTTTTGAAAAAGCTTCTACACAAAGGGACACAGCGCCTCAACCCTGGACTGACACGGACCTTTACCTGCTTAGGGTGCATGCAATGCGCAGACCAAACGCACTGCGATGGAGTCACTTCCAACTGACAGCAACAGGAGGAGGCAGCGTAGAACTGCCCTGGAGGTTTCCGGCCTGCAAATCTTAACGGGAGTAAAAAGCCCACCTTTCTCCTGGGGAGCGGTGCTTAACCTCACGACAATGAACGCCACCCACCGGGTCCCACTTAGACTTCATGAAGGAGAGACCATCTGACAGAGTCATGTATGGGTATCTCTGTACCTATGTACACACTCCTTTTTTAGAATACATTCCCCAAATAAGAATGATGAATCTAAAGAGAAAACCTCCCACGGCACCTGAGATGCACGTCTAAATTCTTCTCAACTTAAGTTGCTACCAGCAGTGAACAAGTAAGAGTTTTCTTTCTTAATCTAAGCACTGACTGGCTATTAAAAGATAGAGGGTCTGGGTCTTAAAAGCATGAAGATACATAAGCCACCATTCAGCACTGAAGCAACAAGTCCACATGGAAGAAGCACCAGGTCGGTGCGACCATGAGGAGTCATAGGGACCAGGTAATAGGCATCAGCAGACACATAACAAACAAAAACATTGTTGAGAACGAGGGGGGATGGAGCAGACAGTAGAACAATCTCCCCACAGAGGGGCCACAGGGAAGGGATGAGTCGCCAGGGTGCAGTAAAGCATCAATGAAACACACTATATTCCTCTGGTTCCTTGAGGCTTCCTCACCCCCCACTACCATGACCCCAGTGCTGCTTCTCAATTCAGACTAGACAGTAACGTATACACAGGTATAGATAAGAGATAGGAGCTCATAACACACAGAATCCAGGAACAGGA